AAGAAATTGAACAAACAAAATAACCAGAAAAGTTCACTTCATTCACATTAGTAACCAATCCACCAATTAAACCATTACTAGAAATACTAGACACACTTGCAACATTAGCACCACTACTCTCAACACTAGGACCACTCACACTACCCTCATCACTAAGTCATAAACGATACATCCCCGAACAATTGTTCGCCCTCCCAACATATCTTCTGCCTTTAGTGATCACAATCTTACCTTTCTCAAGCACCATCTTGAACCCACCATTGTCAAACTTTCCGCAGAAACCAACCCCTTCGAGATAGTAGGAACATGAAGAACATCTTGAAGGGTTACCCATTCACTACGTGTGAACTTCAAACAAATATCACCTCTTCCTTGAACTTCAGCTCTGTGACCATCAGCACAGACGACGACCATCCCATGTGGCATTGGGAGGTAAGTGCAGAAGCTCTCTCGTTGCCCACAAACATGCATAGTGGCACCAGTATCCATGAACCATCCTCGAGCACAGATTGCTCGGGTAAGGGAAGATATCATGAAAATCTCTCCAAGTTTCACACTTGCCACCATATCAGTAACCTGCTCGACTGCATGTGCAACCGGTCCTGATTTGCGATCCTTGCATTCCCACGCATAGTGCCCAATCTCTCCGCAGACGTGGCAAGGTCTGGCCCTCTTCGACTTTGAGTTAGGATTCTGATGACCCGGTTTCTTGAATTTTTGTTTCTTGGGTCTGAAGTTCTTTTTGGTCAGTCCCCAAGACTTTCCTTTGTGACTAGAACCCCCAGCTGACACGTGATGCACACTCGATCCGACTTTACTATGCTTGTCCCTGATGCGAGTTTCCTCCTTAATGTGGAGGTGTTTCATCAGATCATCCAAGGAGTAGTCCTCAGATTTATGCATCATTCTCTTAGAGAAATATTTCCACGAGGGTGGCAGTTTTGCGATGATCGCACTAACCTGAAAGAGTTCTGGAATAGAGATGGAGAGTGCGTTCAACTTGTTGACCATGACTTGGAGTTCATGCACTTGCTCCATGATTGATTTGTCATCAGTCATTTGAAACTCTAGGTACTTAAACACAAGGTACTTGTTAGTACTTTTCTCATGTGCCTTGTACTTAAGTTCCAACGCATTCCATAGCTCTCTTGGATCTTTGACCGACGCATAAAGATTATAGAGCCGATCAGACAGGGAGTTCTTGATGTGACCCACACACACTTCCTCGGACTTTCCATGCAGAGTCCTTTGCTTTTCTAGTTATGCGATGACCGCTGGGTCCACAGTTTTCCCCTCCTTGGGAATTGGCTCAGCAGGAATTGGTGCCAGATCTGGGTCCAACACAAAGGCGAGCTTCAAAACATGAAGCATGGACTTTACCTTTTCGGTCCAACGGGTGTAGTTCTGACCATTGAATTGGTCAAGTTTGGCAAACTATTGGTTCATGAAGTGGAGGCTAGCAGTAGAGTATATTAGTCTGTCAATTTATCACAATAAAAACCTTTAAGAATGTTGAAAAATCAAACTAATAGACAAGCAAGGAAACCGAAAAACAATATTGAGAATTATATGTCGATTATTTGCGATAAACAAATCCAATTATTATTATTATTATTATTACCAAGTTTCATCCAGATACCATATCAATCATTCTCAATTAGATCTGATTATAAGAAAGGTAGAAGAAGACTGTCCTGTTGTTGGACTAAATTAAACGCAAGACAGAAAAGTAAAACCGACCTGTTGATGGCTGATCTTGAACGTGGAATAACTATACCGATCGGACTCCTGTCCTTAAAGGTTTTTACTTCGCTTCTACTGGCTGTAAGCAACAGAGTAAAACCCCAAGATTTAATGCAGATCTATCGATTTTGCAACAACACCGGAAATCGATAAACACAAAGCGAATACTCAGAATTTGGAAGAAAAAACGAAGAGAGATGGAGAGAGATTTGATTTCGTGTGTTTAATACTGCTCCTAGAGAGTTGTATTTATAAGTGTCGAAACCCTAGGAGCCATCCACGAAGTCAACGCTTGTCAACCGTTTGGCTGGATCGGTTTGATTTCGTGTGTTTAATACTGCTCCTAGAGAGTTGTATTTATAAGTGTCGAAACCCTAGGAGCCATCCACGAAGTCAACGCTTGTCAACCGTTTGACTGGATCGGTCAAACCGACCGATGCATCGTGCGAAGTGCCAAGTGCGCCTAAATCACGACATTTCGCGCACTCGCGGCGTCGGCTAGTGCTAGGCTAGGCTAGGCACGCGTGTGTGGGCTTGGCCCATTCCTTTGATCCACTAAAGCCTTTGAAGGCCTATCAAGGAATTAAGCTTATAAACGCATTAAAAGTGTATTCCCCCACCAATGTGGGTAGAGGAAACTTGCCAACTTGCAACCTTTCCTCTATAATTTCCAACAATAAAAGCTTCATATCGAGACTAAATCACCATGAAGCTCTTCATTCCCTATACGGAATAGGAAATGTAAAAAAAGCTATAAATAATTCTAATGGGAACAGTTGTAACCTATGAATTCTAGTTTTTTTTTTGGAACGGCCTATGAATTCTAGTTGATGAGAAGAATTCAAGCCAAAATGGAAATATAAAACATTTTCACTACATACCTTGTATCCTATGCATAAGTTCTGGAATCTGAGTTTCAAAATCTAGAATTTGATAATTGTAAGAATACGTAAACCTCGATAAAAAACATTCACATAAATCGTTATCTAAATCAATAAAAGAATTTTTTTTATTAATGCATAATCCAACAATAAACAAAACAATTTTTTTTTGCAAAAAATTTAAGACTCTAATTGAATTACAATTTACTCTTCTAAAAGTATAGAAACAAAACGAAGATTTTAAAAGATTGAGGTTATGTTTGGCGTACTAGCTGAAAAGGTAGCTGATATCTATAAAGCTAGCCGATAGCTGAAAATCTAGTTGATAAGTGAAAAGCTAGCTGATAAAAAATGACGTTTGGTAAAACTAGCTGAAAAGCTAGTTAGGAAATGTAAAATGACATAAAAGGACATGTACAAAAATGATTCAATATTATAACACAAATATCTAATACATAAAATTAAATTAATGTAAATACTAGAAAACATTTCTCCGACTATTTGTATTTATGTAAATTTTCGTGTATCTCATATTATATTTGCAATATTATCACGGATTTCTCGCATCTCATGTTGTGATCGTCGAATATTATCATGACTTAATCTTGAATGATTCTCCCGTTCTTCTATTCTTCTGTTCGTTCTTTTGTAGGTATGTAATTATGTTGTTGAAAAATGTTGAAAATCATATCTCTCGAGTCATTTATTCGAAAATAGTTATGAAGGGTTAAATACTGCCATTATCACATCTATTTGAGTCTTCTCACTAAATTTTGGCATTTTTTTCAATATTTTCCACCTCTGCTTTAGCACTCCAAGCGAACGTTCAATACAACTTTAAAGAGATGAATGTACACGATTAAAAGCTTCTTGAGCATTGGTTGGAAGCACATGTTCAAACTGTGACTGATGATATCTAAGACGTGGATATGGTGCCAAATATCCTTTTTGATCTGGGTATCCTTTATCTACTACGTAATATTTTCCTATATGAAAAAATTCAATGATTGTTAGCATAAAAACTATAAACAATATCAAACTACTTGTACTTTCTGGAGGCTTAGTAAAATTCATAGAAGTTGTCTTCATTGCATGAAGGAACACCTGAGTATCATGTGCTGATCCTTCCCACCCGACGGATATAAACGTAAAACACATGTCAAAGTCACATACAACCATTACATTGAATGTAGGGACTCCTTTTCATCCCCTATATCTCATTTGGTCGGCCATTAGGATACATGCATCTATATGAGTACCATCAATGCATCAAATGCAATCCTATTAAGAAAATGTTTAAATTACAATATAGAAACATATGAAAATGAAATACCACAATCAGTTACCTTGAAATAAGTCATATATCGACTGTCAGTTTCAATATGAGACGGTATGCTTTGAAATGTTGCATCTTTAGGTCTAATATACTCACGTGCAAGACCCATGAAACCTTTACTCTGTCCACATGTGGATTCCAATACATCATGAATAGTTCGACTAATTGTCTCTCTAGAACGTTGAAACCTCTCAGCAACATCTCTATTAAAAATATGTAGTGCAAGTGTGTACAAGAAGATTCCAACCTTTTCTTTCACCGATATTCTATCACTTGGCATTAACCCATAAATTTTTTTCCAAGTCTTCACATAGTTGCGTAAATAAACTAGCACTCATACAGAAAGCATTAATACATCGTATTGGATGACCATTCAAGATCTCTTTCATCCATGCTTCTCCTGTTTTATTTGACGTCATACACGGGTCCTTGTAAATATGAGTGTATTAATAATTAATTACAGCCACATGTTCTTCGAGACAGCTCAATGTTAAAAGTAAAAGAAGTTGATTCCTTTGAGTGTCATCCATTGCAAGTTGTACCCATCAATAACATTACAAGTCAAATAAATAAATAGCAAGTACAAATGTAAAACCAAAATGAAATATAAAACATTGCAAATAAACAATTTTAGTATCCACGTAAAAGATAAACATTCAACTAAGTACTAATAATAATAAGTTTGAAAATATGTCTATTCACTAAAAAAACTAGTAAAAAAATTCTTCAAATTGTATTTCTCGTATGAGAAAACTTCAACCAAGCCAATCTAGCATCATCACTCGGCATCTCGAAGAATATATCTCTATTACTTGTATCCCGAAACATAAGCATCGCATGGCACCAAACATCCCCGCTAACCTGGAAATCTTCATTTGCAGCTATTCGGTTCATGATTTCCATTATCTGCTTAATATCAGGAGGTCCTACATCATCCTTTTTAGTGTTTGTACCTTGCTTGATCAAACCCACAATATCATAATGGATTTCATGAACCTTTTGTATATGCACTCTCATTAAAAATAGAGCCCCTAGACTCCCTTTTTCTACGCTTCGCACTTTTGTTATTTTGTTTAGGAACATCAGAAATTGTACGGTTACCGGTAACCACTGCAGAAAAATTATCCCAATCAGAATTTTATTTATTATCCAAACTCTTTAGTCTAGAATATTCAGAATATTCACGCATAACCTCATCAGACCAACCATTTTCATTTTCAGTCTCATCTATGTCATTAATTGATTTATCGACAGACTCCAGATTTAATGAGGGAGCTACACAACCTACTCGTGTTGCCACAGCATCACAAAACAGATGATCCCATTTTTCTTCAAGAAATGGATAAACTCCCTTCTGGTACTTCTTTGCATCAGGTTTCTCCTATAAAGTGAATTAATAAGGGACTATATTATCAAAAGAATACTATATACTACAAATAAAAATATCTAAGTAATACCTTTAGCTTTCTATCCCACCATTCATGTGAACAATCTAGTTTTCCGGTCGTTAAATTCCAACCTAAACCGGTTTCTCCCTTTTTGAAAATTTTCCAAAGGCGCCAATCTTTCTTCATGCTATCATATTTATTCTTTAAACTTTTAAAGTTAAATTGTTTCCCAACCTTTTCTATAAAAAGATCTTCTGTCTCTTGCCATCTCATGAGTTGACCACATCCATTCTTTGTAATGTAGTCGATACAAACCTCACAAAATTTTACAGTATTTTCGTTGTTCCAGGTTATCCATTCTTCGGTATCTTTCTTAGGAGGCATAATTCTTGTAAAAGCCTTGTACCAGGCGTCCTAAATTTCATAAGGGAAGAAAACAATAATTAAAAAAAAAAACAATTAACGACTATTATATATATATATATATATATATATATATATATATATATATATATATATATATATAAAAGGTCAGTAGAAGGTGGGGAAAAGAATACAAGGCTAAGGACTATTGACTAAACTTTTGTTGTCTATAATTGACAAATCATAATAATTTATTGAGTAACACAAACACATAAGATGGTGTTTTGTTTGAACTTTAAAACTGTTTTTTGGCATCATGTGGCAATGTATGTATGTTTACTGTTGTATATAGTGTTACATGATATAAGTTTCCCTTATATGTTTAGTGGTTGTACTATATTTATGCATATAAAGATACTTATAAATATATAATATTGGATGTTTGAGGTTGAAATGGACAATTTTTTACTTTAAAGTTTATATTAACCACTTGAAATAAGTACTATGTATAACATAATATGGATTTTACCAAATTCCATGTTATAATTACAAGTCAACAAATATTTCAAATAATAAATTCCACACATAATATGGATTTTACCCAATTCCATGTTACAATTACAAGTAAACAAATATTTCAAATAAACAATTCCACACATACGAAATAAATTAGTATATATATTTTTTGGTTTTTTGGTAGTTAACCTGTTTTTCAATTGGGAATCACAATCCAACCAAAAAAAGCTCAGTTTTTTGGTTATGTTAATCTGAAATTGGTATGGCTAACCAGGCTTTTTTTTGGTTTTTTTTAAATACTATATCTTAGAAAATTGTATCATACAAGTAGGGATATATTTTTATCTACATAATTAAAGTTGATATTTAGAATTTTATTTCTTTTATCTTATATAAAATATGAAGCAGATGCAATAAAAGGATAGTTAACAGTGGCCACAAGACTTCACTTATGACCAACCTACTCCTTAATCATGCCCTCTCTTATGTAATTAAGAGTAACATCTCTTTTAGACATTTTGTCAAACAATATGTGGGCGTAGATTAAAAGAACTAAATTTACGGAAAAAACATCATGTTTATACTACGTTGTTGATGATCGTTTAGCTTAATACAACCTGCATATTTATTCATATTTAAACAGGGTCATGAAATCTTGTTTTTCTATTAATCTTGTTAGTAATTAGGAACCCAGTTAATACAAATATGAATGAAGGAATCCGATGGGGATACAATTACAGCCAATCGCATTGTCCCACACCTCAAATCATATAAATGACTATAAAATTGCTTGCCCATATCATATTAACCGGAGGAACAACAAGTTGATTAAACAAAACTACTGACCTTGAATTCGTTTGAAGCCTCGAGAAAACCGAATTAAAAGAAAACTTTCGTGTTATGACACTGAATGATGAAAGACAATCATTGTAATCAGCAATGATAACAGATGACACAGAAGCACAATTACGTGGTATGAAAACGATACTAACCTTTAAATCGATTGAAGATTGCTTTGTACAAACCGACTTGACAATTTGGTACTATGAAATTGGTACCTGTGCTTTTATAAGAATCGATGATGGAGGGAAAACGTTGTTGGTTTCTTGCGATTTGGAGGGAACCGATTTGGAGGAAATCTCGAGATTATGGTGCTGATTTTATGCCTCAGTAATATATTTCAAAGGGTAAAATTGGAAGAATCACAAAAAGCTCCTCAAAACGTTATATTAGGCTGAAGGGAGTGGTAACACCTTAGCATACCGCCACGTCATTTTTTGTGCTGCCATATCATTTTTTTATACCAACTCTCTAGCATGTTTTTCTTAGCATTTCATAAGAAGTGGTGGTATGTTAAATTAATAGGGTTTATTTTAAAAAAAGCAAAAAGAAAAAAAGAAAACAAAAGCTATAAACCAATCAAAATCCACCAATATGTTTTCTCTCTCCTCTCTCCTCTCGCTAGCTACTTGGCGACCATCTTTTAGCACTTCCCTTGACTAATCATAAGGAGTGGTGTTTTATATTTAAAGAATTGCTTGGCGAGAGGGGTGGCGAGTCCACTCCCTCAAGCCTTAGTTTTTTAAAAAGCTAGATTATAAGCTATCTTATAAGCTACTTTTTGACTTGCCAAACATCGCAAGACAAAAAAGTTCAAAAAAAAACTAGCTTATAAGCTTAGATGTGGCTTACCAAACACACCCTAACTACATAAATTAGTTTCAGTTCAAAATTAAAAGCCTCAAAAGACCGAATAAGTTTAGCCATGACTTTGAAACAGTTCACTGTAAAGTCATTGGGTCCCTACATATCTGAATTTTGATCAAAGCAATTAAAAAATAACTTATAAAGTAACAAAGAGAAGAGATTATTCATTAGTACGTTGTCTTGTTAATCTGTAATGAATTATTAAAGTGGAATTCATATTAAATTTGTCAGAGAATAATTTTTTTTTACCACAAAAGTTTCATTAAATTACTAAAACAGAGATTGTAAGACAATAAATACACCTGAATCACGCAAAAAAAAAACGAAAATGTATTGCTTAAATTGTTAAAAGCTTCTCAAATTTACAAACAGTAGAAAAAATTATACCTGTAGTAATTGGAGAAGAATGGTTTGTATAGATTCCTTCGTTCTCCTTGTTGGCCTAATTCTGAAATTAGCGTAAAACATCAAAAAAGGAATAGAAAGAAAAACATATGTTATAAATTGTAAATATTGACAAAGAAAATAATTGTTACTTAATAAAAACTAGGTGTGAGACCCATGTATTACATGAGTTTATTTAAAAAAAAAATTAAATACAAAATTCTAAACATTTGAGAAGTATGAATTTATAAGAAAAGTGAGAAAATATTGAATTATAAAAAATAAAATGTTTTTTTCTCTTTTAAATTTAAACAAATAATTTAGATAAATAAATAAAAAAGATTAATGAATTTTTAATGTAGTAATTTTGAAATTAGAAGGAAAGTTATATGCATTTATTATTGCATTTTAATACTATCTAGAATTTAATAAAATGAAAAAAACCATAAAATGACATGTGGAATAAAAATTAATTGAAAATAATCACAAAATTAAATGTGACAAAATAAATGAGAATGTAACATGTGACAAAAAGATATTTATTCATTAGGGAGGATGATGATTGTGCATACATGTAACATACCTTAATTGAGTAATTCAGCAACACTTTGAAACCTTGCGTACAAGAATCAAGCAGAGAAACCTGCAAAAATTAAACAATAGAAATTCAACTTAATCAGATTTGCTCCCATGTAAGATTTAGATGTAAATTAGGGTTCCGTAGGGTCAAGCCATAATAGATTCGGAAATTAGGGATTTGAATCGGGACAAAAGCAGACGCTTGGTGGTGGTGACCACAGCATAAGGAGTGGAACGAAGAGGCGGTGGTAATGGATAATCGACGTAAACAAAATAAAGAAAAATCATACCCTGCAATTGTGGAATCAAACGAAGAGAAGAAGAGAAAAGTAGAACAATCATAGCACAATCAGAAGAGTAGACGTGGATGCCTACTGAATCTCAATTCTCGTAGATTATGTAGAAAGGGGGAGACTTTAGATAACAGGTGGTGAGGAAGGAGCTTGAGACAACACAGAAAAGGGAACGACACATCAATGATCGAATGAGGGAAGCAAGGGGAAGATAGTAGTAGAGACACCGTCGATGCGGTGGGAAATGATTTTTGGGGTGTTTGGGAGTGCTTTTTGAACTCTAAAAAATTTATTAGATAAAAATGCTTATTGAATTATAGTGATAGTAAAAAGAGTTTTTTAAAAAGTATTTGGATTAGCTTTTATGGAGAAAAAACCAATAAGTTAAAAAGTGTTTGGTTTAAAAAGTGTTTTTTGAATTTATTTTGGTTAAAAAGCCAAAAACAGTTTTAAAAAATCAAGTTTTACATGCTTTTTAAAAAGTGTTTGTTGAAGCTTATATAAAAGCTATTCTGAAAAGTGTTTTTGAGTTTGTGAAAATCTTTTTTTGACTTATTAGCTTTTCAAAAACTCAATAAGCAAATAAGCTGTTTTGAAAAGCAACTGACCGGAACGCAAGCCCCACAACTAATAATAAATAAAAAACCAACCGATTAAAATGTAAAAAAAAAAAAAAAAAAAAAAACTAGCCGGCAGAAGAAAAAAAAATAAAAAATTGACCAATAAAGACAAAGTACTGTTCATAAGGGGGCTTTACTTTATATTTTTAATGATTTAAACCATAAATTAATTTTTTTTATCAAAATAACTCATTTTCAAGTTTTTTTCATCTAATGTGAACTTTTTATAAAAAAAATAGATAGTCGTAGATGTTTATACGCAAACAACCTATCATTAGAAGATGATGATGATAAGGTCGTCCGGTGTACACTACACGAACCTGCTCGTGGTCTACGTGGCCACGGAAAACGCCCGTGCACACTACCCCGGCCATGCGTGGTCGGGCGTGTTCGTGATGGGTCGTGATACAGACGACGAACAACAACGGAGGCGTCTCTCTCTCTCACCCTTCTACTTCTTCTCTCTCTCTCTCTATTTCTCTCTCTCTCTCTCTCTCTCTCTCTCTCTCTCTCTCTCTCTCTCTCTCTCTCTCTCTCTCTCT